TTAAAACAAAGTGTCACTTATAAAGTTTAGAACTGCCTTCAAAATTGTTCGTTTTGGAATCGTGGACAAAATCGTCATATAAAGATCAAAAAGTTAATATCATATAATGGTTTGCAGGGTTTAGGTTTCTTGGTTTGACCCGTTGTAAAATTAACAGTTAAATTATACAGCGTGAATTATCTCGTTCCATACTTTTGACTAACTCTGTATATCCCTTGATTATAGGATTTGGTTATTCATTGGAAGCAAAATTGTAACGCTGAACATGACGAGGAACTGGGACCTTCCTCTATATTTTCTCCTTGCCCGCATAGACGATTTATGTCAATTGAACAGTATTTATTTTATTCAACTACTCAATACATATAAAATTGAATAGTCTTTCCTCGTCGTAAGCATAAATAGGAAACAAGGTTTCGAGTGACTGCATAATATATGTAGAAATTTTTTTCTCCGTTAATGATAGAGTAGCCTTACAACCAGCTGACGGCCTGATGAAAGAGTGCGTTCTTCTGTCGCTTACATTGAAAACCAAGCTTAGCTAAATGAAGGTTATTCAAATTAGATACTGTTAACATGTTGGTTCCAATATGGATGAGCTGTATAGGTTGTATGTAATAAGAATGGTACGATTGTTTCACGTTTATATAAAACTAGCTGTACCCGCGGGCTTTGCCCCGTTTAACTTCATAAGTATTCGCATGGCTCATTCATGTCCTGGTTGAAGTTCGTTCGCTACGCTCACTCACCTTTAGGTTGGAGCTCGTTCGTTGCGCTCACTTGCCTTCAGGTTAGCTCGTTCGCTACGCTAACTCACCTCCAGGTTAAAGTTCGTTCGCTACGCTCACTCACCTTTTGGTTGCAAATTAAGCTGTTGTCATAAATTAAAAAAAAAAATAGTGCTGCACCCTGTTGGTAATCCTTGTAACTTTAATGCTATTGAACATCATAGAACAGAACCAACTTGTTTTATTGAAACAGCTGTTAAGATTCATTAATTCCATTTAAATATGAGTACTCATAAGGTTAACATGGGAAACTCCAGAGCCACTGGGGCGGAGCCCGACAGTCCGATCAGAATAAAAACAACTTAGTTTTCCTATTTAATGCCTAAAGAATCAGTGTACCAAATTTCAGCCTCCTAGGTAAATGGGAAGTGGGAGAATTAGTGATAAGTGAGTGAGTGAGTGAGTGAGTCAGTCAGTGAGTGAGGGCTTTGCCTTTTTTTATATATAGATGAAATGACACGGCATGTTCCTTTAGCTTAATGTTTATTTTGGATTTGGAAATACATCGAAGGGAGGGTTCCGTTTTATCAAGAATAGCCATTTGTGAGTGCAAATTATGCTCATAATACACGCAAGATGTTTCCTACACCCATATTGACTTATCATAACACACCGATAAACTTTTTAGCTGTATATAAAATGCCATTTAGGTTATGTTTGCTTTTTAGGTTATGTTATTTGTTTACCGGCTGTTAACGTACCAGTAACTCGATCCACGGCTAAAGTTGGTGTGGAAAAACTGTGAAATCAGCTGATTTAGCGAGCGGGAATGATCCATTTCCGCTCTAGAGCGCAAATAAGCTATTTTGCGTACTGTTTAGAGCTGTGCCAATGTGACAATTTCCATGCAGTGGTAAGAAAAATAATTCATCCGGCATTTTTTGTATTGAAAAATTTAGGCATAAAACAAAGATTGAGAAAAACAAAATAGTCATTTGACATGTTTATAGAGTGTTATAATACATACACTGTTCGACAAAAAACAATTATCCTCAAGATAACGATTAATGTATCGAAAATGTGTCAAAATATGTATTTAGAGGAAAGCACAAGAAAATTAGCCTTATTTCACCAATAATTCTTTCCAAACCTTTTTTATGCCTGTTTAAGCGTGAGATGATTTTAATGTAATCCTTTCGTAAGATATGAAACTTGTCAATGGTATAATTTCAGGATGAAATACTTTCTTACAATTTCTCATATCATACAAGATAATAATAAACCTCTGACCTTGATCCCAGCTGATTGTTGGGGGTTGTTTTTGTTTTCTTCACTTATGCAGTCAAACATCAGTCAGACTAGCTATTGTCACTTTTAGTTTCCATTAAATATTGATTGAACCGTTGACCGGGGAAAGTTGAAAACACGAGTTGTTCTCAGAATTTATAAATTACAATCCCAATGAAAGTAAAATCGGGCGGTCACGTTGAAAACAACACACTGTGGTCGCACTGTGTGTTTTAATTTTAAATTCCTAAACATGACCATCTGTCTAATGTTTGTCGTGTTGAATTAATCCCAGTTGTAATTCGTAATGGTTGAAATTTTTTGAAATTTTACTTTCATCGGGTCAACGTGTGATTCGTTTTCGTTTTCCAAAACAAACTATACATAATCAGGTTATACAAACCTGGTAATAGGTTGTCATCAAAACATGGTTTGAATATATTTTTTAATACTTTTAATACTTTAATACTTTTCATTGAAATGGTGACCATACGAAGGTATTTTAAGCCAAGTGCGAATAGAGATGAGTGTAGGATGAGTGGCGCGATCTTGTAGTCTTGTTACTAAGGACGACATATTCCTTAGACACAGCTGTTAATTAATAGCCCATACAGTCAATGCCAACTAAGGAACATACAGTTTATAGTGGAATCCGAAATCCAAACCATATTGTTGCCTTGTAATTGAAGAATTGGTCTAATTCAAGAATCAAGAATCTTTATTGCCTTTGATCCATACATATACAGACATTGGCATTATCAGGATAGTACTGCGGATAGTCATAGTACTCACTAATGTGGACGTTAATCCACACCAGGGAGTATCGCATCCACAGTGCTTGCCTATAATTATCCACAATTCTTGACCTCCTAGTAGTTGGATTACAGGACATCGCCACAACCCCAGTCAAGCATGAGACATTGTTCAATCATTTGGCCAAACTTTAAGTGAATTCAGATTATTAATAATTTGTTATTGTTAGTTAAAAGTGTAAAGGGCACAGATGGCTTGCTATCGTACCATTTTCTGGTGATAATAGATTTTTACAATTAATAATTTACAACTTTCAACTGGAAATTGGTGTAAGTGCAATACCCAAGTAAACTAATAGCTTCCTAGGAATCATAATTAAACAGGCACTTAATTTATGTTAAGTGTTTATATATCTTTGTGTTCCCTCGGTCGTTTTGCCTTAATCATCTAATGGTACTTTTCCCCTCTAGGTTGTAAAGAGAAGGAGTAAGGGTTGAAAATGCACTTTTGCCCATGATGAACTATATTTTTACGCCACACTACATTATTTTGACGAACTTCCCACGCAAGGATTTAGTCCAGAAAACAGCTGTTTGCCACCAGCTTATTCAAATGGAGTTTCATTGCGTACTACTGTCACAGACAACTGTACTGTAATGAGTTTTACCGGACACCAATCAGCTGATTATACTGTATTTGGGTGACAATGAATAGTTAGAAACAAAAACATAACCTTTATGACTAGTGATTTTTAGTCCTTTAGTTGGTGGAAATATATAAGGATTTGTACGGATTTAGTAGTATGGCGTAAACTATCGTACGTTCGTCCAAAACGTGTGTACGGTACCGGACTCGACTTCGTCTCGCACGGGAACGACCACACTCGTCCGGTAAACACTTATTTTCAGGACTAGTAACGTAATATACTATTTCATCATATTGAACCATTACAACAAACCAAAAACAACTATCAACACAACAACCAACTAAGTTACAACACGAAAACAACTTCTCATAACGAATTCCAACTTGTTTTCAATTTTGCTAATACAAACAAGCAGCTGTTTAGTAAGTGATTCAATTATTTGTGTCTATAACGATTGTGTTAGTCTATATACATTCAGTATACAGCCACATGTGTAACTCATTGACTCATTGGGGTATAACCACTTCTGGAATAGTTAGAGATTTAAATTTGGTACGATACTAGGTCTTGGTCCTCAACCTCGGGAAAATTCTAAAAAGTTTCATTTTTTTTGTTTTAACCCCCCTAAATTCAGAATTTTCCCCATGTTATTCTTTTAGGCAACATTAAAAGTTTTTGGTGATTTGAACCATCTGAAACAAGCAAGTAAATTGAAGGTTTTTGTGGAGGTCCCGTCTTAATCCTAAACCACACAGAAATATACAAAAAAGCCCCATTTTTTTATAAAAATGTTTTTTAAACGACTAGGCCTTTTAAATAAAAGACTGTTGCTAGCAATGATTTAAAAGAATTTTTTATCGCCAGAAATTTAATTTTCTACTAAACGCTCTTGGGCGTTTTCCGAAAACAGCACCCCTTTACTCTCAAAAATGCACCAAGACTCGGTTGTTCATTTGAGTTAAAATTTGCGGCATTTTATTTAACTAGTAATGAACTTTATTTGCATAACCTGCTTACTTTTAAGATATTCTTCTGACTTCTAGCGAGCGTCCCCTAGAAGGAGTAGCGTATCACTGAATAATGTGTCAAAATGATTTCAATTCCCAATAACTTTGTGCTAATATTTGTAGCTCTACCTTTATTATTTTCTAAAATTTAACTTTCCCGGGAGTTTTTTCCGCCACGAACAAACTCTTCGAAGTTGGTTCCTTTAAATACACTAATGCTGTCCTCATAGTTTACTAACAAAAAGCTACTACAAGAACATTAAGTCCACACAGGAGCACGTGTGGTTAATGGGTGAACATATCTTCCAAGAATTTAATTTTACTTTTCACACTTGCAAAAATGGTTTATGTATATGTCTTCTTTGTTTGCCTTTGTATTGTTAGGACTTTATAAACGAGCGAGAAACTCGAGTCTTTGAAATAAGCAAATATCATCGATAGTTAAATTGAAAATCCGAACATCCAAACAAATGTTGGATAAGTTTGTTTATGGTCTTATTTTTTTAAGACAGATAAAATGTAATCTGTAAAGGTCCTAAGTAGTGTGAATGGGTGTGAATAAACACTGAATACTTCGTTGACTGAGTTTATTAACTTCATTCACCTTCAAGGTCTGTGATTTTTAAGCTTCGTTCTTTTTTTTATATGGTTTGAAAGCCTTGTCGATCATGACACCACCATATTTTGTACATTGGCCGAACTCAAATTTGATACTAATTTTTAGATATTCATTCACCAAATTTTCTAAATTAACACCGGCATTTTGATTGTTAAGAAAATCTTGTATTGCTCTCTGTTGAGGTTGAGATTCCCTCTCTTTGTTTCCAATAATGCGATCTTTCTGTAAAATAAATGGTACAATTAGAAACTACACCATCAGCCTAGGCCCAATGAAAATACTTAGGAAATACTATGACAAATTGGAAAAGTAAAAAAGTGGCACCTCTAAAACTATGCTGCACTTGATGCTGAGTTTGTAACTAGGTCACAACTGATGGCATAGCGTCCTCTGATTGGTTTTAAACATTTCAGGCATAGACTCAAGTTACTCGGATAATGATGGCTACCAATTTGTAACGAGTGGGCTGTGTGTGAGGTGTAATAATGGAAATGTGAATATAATTTACTGAAGAATTAGTCAGGTTTTGATTAGCCGTGATTAACTAATCTGTAACATGAAAACCTTACAACTAAACCACTACCTGAAAATCAAAGATTTACATTGATATAAATAACTAATAACAACCTAACTATGGAATACTGAAATTTTGATTGCGGTTATCTTATGAATAAATTGTTCGGATTGACGGCAGAGAACAACTGAACAATTTAGTACCACTGTGATTTCGTTACATTGTTTCAACAAGTTGGATGTCGGTTCAAACCGACGTTTTAAACTCAAAAACTATTATATACACTAAATCCCCTGGTTTCTTTTCAGCAATCGCTAACTAAGGTTAAACTATACCATACTCGCTAATTTTCAACTACCTGTAATTTAATTTCTTATATTTAGGTTCTTATCAGGACTAATTGTTTTCTTCGAGTAAACACATCTTAAACGGTGGGGCACACGGAAGATTTCTCAGGTGCCGTTTTACGTCACTAACTGCTGACGTCACTAACTGCTGCGTCTGAAGAAACAGACAATTTTATAATTTTCTATTATTAAATTAAACTGTCATAACCTAACCAAACTTACCAAACGTGCTGATAATGGAAAAATCGAATAAAGGTTTACTAATCTAAAAAATAGTTTTGTTCATAAAATAAAATTATAATTGCCTAAAATTCAATTTTATAATTTTTTAATTATAAAATTAAGCTGTCATAACCTAACCAACCTTGCTGATATGAAGTGACATGAACTGATATGAGTGCCGACGGCGGGATTCGAACCCGGAACATTCGGATTATCAGCTCGCAACGCTATCCACTGTACCACCGAGGCCGATGGCTCAAGAGCCGTATCGTTGCGGTATTGGTGTTCCCTCAAAGTGACGTCAGCAATTAGTGACGTCAAACGGCACCTGAGAAATCTTCCGTGTGCCGTTTCGCATCTCGAACACGTTCTTTTTTCAAATATGTTTGTTTACTTTACCCATCCAAAACAAATCAGCTGTCTTGCGATGTAGCTACATCAGCCAAAACAATGTCATTGATAATAGCTGCTGCAAATTTAATGGTAACTAGTTGCTTGTAGGACAGAAGTCCCTAAACAATCTCAAATGTAAAACAAATAATTGAAATATTCAAACAAAATAAGAATCAAAGTGTTTGTGTCAAGATGGATATCCAGGTTCGCCATATCTTTTGTTTAAAAAATAGTCTATTTGCTTTGGTTGTTGTATTTTTCAATAAATAATTTGATTGCTTCCAGAGTTTGAACTCTAGGCAATAAATATATTTATTGTATGTTAGTAATTGCCGGTTTACTAAGGTAGCGTTGGTATCGTGGTATCTTACTAACATTATAAATGTGAAAGTTTGTGTGTTTGTTTGTTTGTTTGTTTGAAGTTCAATCACGCATTAATTACTGGACGGATTGTGCTGAAATTTGGCATGATGATAGCTCACATTCCCGATTAACATATACAATAGGCATATTTTTAGCTCAAAAATCCTTTCGAGCTCCGCCCCAGTGGCTCTAGAGTTTCCCATGTTAACCTTATGAGTACTCATATTTAAATGGGATTAATGAATTTAGTCAGCTGTTGCAACTAAAAATGTTGGTTCTATGGTATGAAAAAGCATTAAAAGTTATAAGATTTACCAGCACTATTTATTTATTTTAAGATTTATTAAGATTAAGATTAAGATTATTAAGATTTATTAAGATTTATGCAGCACTATTATTTTTTTAATTTATGAAAACAGCTAATTTGAATTAAACAGCAATACAAAACTGTGATACTCAATGAGAACCGCCTGTTTACAGTTTTGTTTATGTTTTTAATTTCACGAATAATTGTGATATTTTGTGAATCTTTGATAATTTTTTTCTATTGTTTGGGTGAAATGGTAGAACATTATGGCTATGGTAGATGTGTAATATGTGTATATGGGTATATGTAATGTGTAGTGTGTTCTACTATAGCATACCGTAAATTTAAAGAAGCAAATTTTATCATACTGTGTCCTCCCCCATTGCAAACGCAAAGCTTGAGTATAAACACAGAATATAGATACATAAAGTGGTATACTGTACTAAGCATTTTATACTTATATGCGAATCCCGTACTAAGGACGGGTACTCTGCTAGTTGCTAATAAAATAACTTCCCCGATTGAAATACCACGGAACAAAAGTGATACCCCGATTTCAGCGTTTAAAGACATCAGCAGTAAATAAAGTATAAATTAGGATTAAAAAATTATATTACCGTAATCTTCATTTCAGTCAGTGCCGTTACTCCGTCTTTAACATTTTCGCAGTTCTTCCAGCCGTGGTACTCCATAAACTCCTTCCTCACACAGTTGTACACCATAAGGTCAACATATTCCCTAGCTTCTGTCAAGCCTGCGGTTATCTTATCCGAAATCAACGTCGTAGTCGCCCTAGTGTTTTTGTCATATATATTGCTTATTTTGTTGGCCACTGTATTTCTTACGATTGCGATGTGATTGAACTGAAAATAAATATCGTATTAATTGAACAACCTTTTCAAATATTAATTAGACACATATTTTGTTATAATTATAGTTATGGTTGTCGTAAAAGCTATAAGTAATCTAAAATAATAATCTTTTTGACAAGACTTTATTAAATAAGGAATAATACCGGGTGATCAAGCCTTGCTAGCTTGTGGTTTATTGGGTTTAATCGTTAAAACAATATCGTAAACAGACAAAATTTGTTATTTACGATAACAACTTGTATCACAAACCATAGAAGTTTGATACAAAAACTCTGTGATGTACAAGTATGCAACTAAACTAAAATAAGATACACTTTTATGAACTTGCATTTAAGGGCCACTTGCACAGAATTTTTCTCCCCTCTTGTCATTGAAACCCATTGTTCGACTTTTACGCTTACCAATGTCAGCAGATAAAAATCTGACATAACAAAATCATAACTCAAACTTATCACTGTAGTTTCAAAATGTCTTAGGACAACGATCACTCACTTTTTCACTACTTCTTCTAAAGTAATTGAGATTTTGTCTGTTTTTCATTGCGATTTTAGCATACCGTAATAGTTATATGCTATATAAAAACCCCTAGATGTAATTAATCTATAATTCCTCTATAATAAAGTTATAAGATGTACCAACAGGGTGCAGCACTATATTTTTTTTGCATTTATGTAAACAGCTAATTTTGAGAACTGTCAAAGTAGGATTGTTAACAGTTATGTTCATGTTTTAATGTCATGAATAATTTGTGATTTTTTTGTGAATTCGTAATAATTTATTTTTCTTTATTGTTTAGGTGAAGTGGTAGAACATTATGGCTATGGTAGATGTGTAATACCCTTAGTATACCGTCAATTTAAAGAAGTAAATTTTATCAAACTGTGTCCTCCCCCATTACAAACGCGAAGCTTGAGTATAACTGCAATAAGCATTTTATACTTTTATGCCAACCCTGTACGAAGGACGGGTACTCTGCTAGTTTACAATAAGGCAACAATTAACTACAATCGATACATACTTTCGATACGTGAAATTTCGTTTACAATTGGAATTTAAACCTCGAAATTTACAAATTTATTACAAATTTTAAATTACAAATTACTAATGAAAATTACAAATTTACAACTTGTTGGCAACAGCTGAATTTTACTCGTATATTTAAATGGCTTACTATCAAGCAATGTTCGGTCCTCCAATTTAACATTGTAAAATACTGAATATTTACCGTCATTTGGATATTCGGCGGCACTTGTCCAGCAGCCTCCGAAACAGGAATGTTTTGTCCGGCAAATGCGAGAACGAACAATATGGTGGCATTGATCATTCTCGTCTCCTTGAAAAAAGTAAAAACATCTTAAAACAATTCACTCCTGCAATCAGATCAGATGCAAGTTGTTTATAATAAATACCCCCGGCCGCAGCATACCTGCAGACTAGGCGAACTTTCATTTGTATTGATTTTAAATTAAATCGATTTGAATACCATTAAGTTTAACCTAGGTTTGCTGCTACAGAAAAACTAATAAAGTGTGTGTTTTTTTTTTTTTAAATTAAACTAATCAAATTTCCATTTGCTTGATTTGGTTCGATTTTCACTCAAATATCTCCTTTACTACGTCATATTATTTGCTATACAACGGTTTATTGAGGACATTTTCCATCACGATGGTAAAAAACAATACACGACGTTTCAGGATCTGGAATCTGATCCCGTCCTCAGGTGAAAAAACTTAACTAACATATTACAACTAACAATACACAAACGCCCAACCTAAGTTGGAATACACTACAGAGGGTAACAGTCAAAAAAATATGCACTGTATAGCAGTCAAGTCATGAAACAACATTCAAATATAGTCTTTGAACAACATTAACTCACCATCACCAACAATGAACTTCAAACAAAGTATTCACTATAAATTAACATTAGTTCAACATTTATTATTAACATTAGTTTAATAAGTACCTAGGTTTACTGCCACAGGGAGCTTTAATACTAAAGTGGGATTTCAGTAAAATATTAAAAGCTTGGTATAAAATAAATAGATTTGCCAAAAATTATCAAAATATATCTATAAAGAAGCAAACCACACAATTTTACACTATTGTCCAAAAGAAAAACCAATTTAAAATTTATTTTTTTTAACTTTCTAAGTAGGACTAACTAACCAATATCCGTGCAGAAACACTTAGATATACTAAATTTTTTTTTCAACCTCTTTAAAATACTCTTGAGAGAAATTAGAAAATTTTGTACTTTTAGGGTCAACGCAATTGTTACCCATAAAATCCCCTGTAAAGCCCCGTTCCATGGTCCGATCATGCTGGTTCGCGAACCTATTCAAGTCTATCCCACCTTACACCTTCAAACCAAATTTTATCAAAGTCTGGAAATTTTCCATCATATTTTATTTCTTCGCTTGACCATTTATTAGATTGATAAATAATTCTGATGAAGTTTTTAAAAACATTTCTCGAATTGTTAAAAATTAATGTCAGGATTTCTTAATTATCTAAACCGGACACTGGTGCTTTTAACAAATGTGATAGCGAAAAGTGTCTTACTTCAGTACTTATATGAATAAAAAATACAGAAGTTTGGGATGTGAGTGCCTAAATATTTGAGTAAAAAAAAAAAACGAATCATTTAAAAGCCATAATAAACACCTGTTATCTAAAAGATTAAATCCACTGAAAACCCTAGTTGTGTACTATGGAAATCACACATATTCTATCAAGAAAAATACAGGACTAAAATAGTACAATATCTTCCATGTAAAGCGCCACCGCTTGAAATTGAATAAAAATAATCAAATTAATGATTGGAGCAAAATGAATTAATCTCCTTTTTTTAAAAACACACAAATTTACAGCAATTGATTCCAAATTATATACAATGATTGTCCTTTCTTTAAGCTACATTTTTGTGTTATTCTTTACAAAATCGAAATAATTGAGATAAAGATATATTAAACATACTTTTATAATATTGTAATGGTTCCGAATTTGTAAATAAGAAATAAAATAATATATTAGTAAAATTTATACAAAGTATCTTATTTACTGATGACTTACCAGGTCAGAAGTTTGTGTCAGAGGTTCAACAGATGGTGCTCAACTAGTCGTTGACTTGTATAAATTAATATGGCGGCATTTTAAGTAATTTGTACTAGTGATGCATAGCACCATTTAACACTTGCGCAAGTGCTTGACGTCAGTTAAAACACGTCCATCACTAAAGTTTATTTGCCAGATATTAGGTTGAATTTTACAAAAGTTTTCATCGTCATGATTAAGGGGTAGAGGATTTTATCCCCCTGGAATTTTACCCCTGGGCAAAACTGACGTCACAAACCAGGGGAATAAAAATCCGCTACCCCATGATTTATGGTCAAATGTTCAAATTGCATCATCAAATTCTCGGGAATTCCAGTAAAAATTGACGCTGTTTGGAAATGAATTCCTCCGCCACAGCAAATCTGCCAAAAATATCATCCGTTGAAATTCATAAAATACATGGTGGATGGTCATCAGTGTTACAGAATATTTTTGGTTTAGAAGATAACCTTAATTAAATGCGCGATTCGTGCACGGATTCCTTCCAACGATAAAGGATTGGCATAAGTGACATGTGTATTCTACCATATTACTGAAAATCTTTAGGCGTTGAAGTGTCCAGGGGGTGTTACTTGTGAAAAAATAATATCCCATTTAAGTTGCATGGTTAAAACTACTGACTGCCGATACACTCCACATGCTCGAGAAAAAAGGGGATCGCAGGGGCGCAGAAAGAGAGGTGGCGTGATCTTGACAACCAATAGGATTTATGTAAATCTCGTACGATGACGTCACATATCAGGTGATGTCCAACTGTCGCAGCAGACTCCAATTTAAAACATTGGATTTCACAATGCATTGGTGTGAGTGCACCATTGAATTGCTTCAGTTTCCACTTGAATCCGACAAGGGCTAGTAAGATACAGTGTAGGAAATTATGTTCAAAGAGGGTTGAAAATTACAACTCATAGACAAATCATGAACCATTTGACCAGTGATTTTCTGCTCATTATATACAATTTGAAAATCATCCCCCCTCCTTTGCATTAAATAACCTATTAAAGATTCTCACGTTGAAGCTAAACATCATGTATAGTATAAATAATATTTTTGGATCATCACACTGTTGATTCTAGTGACCCCCTTTTCATCTAGTAAATTCCCGTTACCTTTTACCCGAAAACAAATCTTGGTTTTGTATCTACATGTTTCCCGATGAGATTTTTTGTTTCTTAGCAAGCACTATCAGAAAGAATCGTTTCCAAAAATTTGAAAGAAAACATACCTAAGTCTAGTTAATTGCCGAAAAGTGGTTATAATCAAAGTTGTGATCCAATAAATTACTGTTTAAACACATGGTAACACTTAAGAGCAGTATGTGGTAAGTGGTGAATAGAAAATGTATGCAAAATCACCAAGTAAAATCAACACTTAAAAAATATATGGTGGCCCACAAAAAGTACCTATTTATCGGTCAAGAAGGCAAAACCACTTTTTCCTGACAAGTTTCATAGAAAAAGATCGTTGAACTCATGTCCTCCGAGATGTAGGCCAAGGCATAATAAAGGCTGAGATAATAATTACATGTTGCGGCTGTATAGCGTGTGTGCCGAACTGACCACCGTCCAGCTCTGGGCAGCGAGCCTACACAGTACACATTCTCTGGAACCAACAGTTCATTGCCACACGAGCATAAAGTACCATCCACCTTTCAAATACATAACTGGACCCAGCTGACCTTATCTTTGGGCTAATCAATTGTACTTACTAAAAACAGCTGATCGTCAGTAACAAAGCTACACTTCATCACACTTCATTTTACACTCAGACTTTACTCATATTTGGGTTTAATATTGGACATATTGGGCACCTTGGTGGCGTCCCCATCTCAAGTGGTAATAATAATCATACTAGAACATAATCTGCATGGACCATAATGATAAACAAATGATGGTATACTGAAATTATACATTATTTAACATTGCTTAAAAATGGAACTGTCTAAACCAATGTTAATGCTATTAATATAGGACTTGAGTTATGTAGTTTATTTATGTTTATGGTCCATACAGCTTTCTGTTCTAATATTCATGGAACAATCTCACTGGATCACGGCCAGATTGACCACACAACGTCTCATTAACCTGGCCATGTTTTCTAGGAAGCCGGATCAGCTGGTCGGTTCCCTTCTCGCAAGCATTTCACCAATTGCATCAGCTGTCTGGAGGCTACTTGCTGTCTTTTCCCAAAACTGTACACAACGGAATAGCTAACTTGATCACAGCTGTGTAGCATCCTAAATTTAGCAAAGAGGTGGTTTGAATTACGATTGATAATTCATTTTTACGTTTATTTATACAAAATCTGTTCGCACTATGTCTGTCAATGTCAATTACACCCATAAAAGTGGTATTTCGAGTTCGATTCGTGAATTACTGTAATAACTCTTTAATAATAATAATAAAATGCCTTTATTTAAAGCGGTCTTCAGATACACTGGGTTTCAAGACAACTCAAGTCACAAACAGTTTACAAGTACACAATAATTACAAACAGTGAAACTAAACTAGCTTTAAATTGGCCTTAAATGAATTACATGACATGATTTTCATATTTCTTGGGAGGGTATTGTATGCCTGTGGTCCAAAGTATGAGAACCCCTTTTTACCTATCTCACGCCGCACTCTCGGCATTTCAAGCAAGCCGTCCTGCCTAGTACAGCGTTCCCTAACTGATGTTCGAGGCATAAGTTTCCTTTTCAAATAGGGAGGCAAATTAGAAGACAGTGTCTTGTGAACAATTAAAACAGTTTGTAGAAAACATTGTTTTTCCAAAGAGAGTACCTTAGCCTGTTTGCGATAGGCAGATATATGATCAAACTTCCTCAGTTTGAAGACAAACCTTAGGGCTCGGTTTTGCAACCTCGTAAGAAGAACTCTACTGTCAAGAGTAAGACATTCACCAAACGTTGGAAGTGCATAGTGAATAATAGGGAAAACTGTTGATTTGATCAATTCCAGCTTAGCATTTTCAGATAGTATCCCTCTCAAACGGTGTAAAATTCTCAACCTATTTGAAACTCTCTGACAAATGTAACTAACATGTGAGCGAAAATTGAGTTGAGAATCAATTCTGATACCTAACACCTTAACAGAATCAGACCCCACAAGAATTTGACCGTCCAGCTCTACCTTTCCAATTAAGACTATTTTTAGGCTGCAAACCAGAAGACTGAAATGAAGCACAGTACACTTTTCAGGATTCAATTTTAGACCGTGATCGTCGGACCATTGCTTTACCCTTAGCAAGTCAGTGTTGATGAGATTGACTGCTTCATGAAAATCAAAAGGGGCGTGGGAAAGAACTAGTTGACAATCATCAGCGTAGGAATGTAAAGTGGAGAATTAGTGATCCTCTTTGTAGTGATTATGTTAAGATTTAAAATTAGACTTTTGGCACGGCGTCCATATGATATTTGTCTATTTTCTCAGTTTCATGTGGAAATAATAAGGTTTTGTAACAATCATTTTTCACCCGTCACTAACTCTTTAAATTATTAAAATAAAACACCCCACTAGGACGAAACCTAGAATATTTCATTGAGTCTTTTCATATTAAATTAAAACAAACTAATAAGATAGTAAGCTCAGCTCGTTTTTCACATTACCTCAAGCTAGATCTTGGGGATGCTACTCTTCACTAGATAAAATTAATTGGTGATTTGGCGGGATTTGAACCCGGGACCTCAGGGACACGGACTGTCCCGCGCTCTAACTAGACCAGCTCGCTACCTGTTGATGGTACAGTACCACCACTTGATGTGATACAGTGAAAGTAGGAGACATTGGGCGCTGACCTCTTATCATAACACTCACACACTTACACACTCACATACCTAATCCCTCACATTCACAAATTTATTATACTCTTACACACACACTCAAAAGTTACACATACATTTTATCCCACACTAACATTCACAAACTTAGAATGTACCTCAGAGTTATAATATATTTAATTACTTATAATAATACATAATATATATGGTAGGCATAATATAATAATAATAATAATAATAATACAATTAATAAAATTATAATTATTACTCTGAGGCGGTACGAATGGATATTATTTTTATGAATAAGCACACACTTAACAATTAAGTTCAATATGTCTTAGTGGCGCGGTGCCTGAATTTTATTTTATGCAATTCCTGCAGGTCTGCCGTGTACCCATATTGCTACCAACACTGCACGGCGAGTCCCATCGTTTAACGCTATTTAGAGTAAAATTTTACTTTTGTAGATCATTGCGCTCTTCTGCGACAACGCTTTGCTCCAACGCATTCTGTCACTGTATTTTCACCACACTATGATGTTTTAGCTGTTTGAATACGTTAATTGGTGGCTGAAAGACACGTTTTGCTGGCCATGCCAGCTGTCATCGTTATTTGGGGACCGAGCAGGTGTTTACATCCCTAGGGCCGCAAAATCAGCTGCCCGCTTACTTACTACTTAGTACATGAATGCATATAAAATACACAATCAAAATCCATAGCATTGCAATAGAATTGTTTTATTGTCACCGTTGCCTAGCAACTTTTTGTTTTTTTATTTTTGCTGATTCATCAAATTATTTCTTTACATACCTAACCTTAAAGTTGTAGTTGTGTTGACTCTCAGTGTGCAAAGTTATAGTGGTGAATAGTGGTAATAGGGTATAGTGTGGTGAAAAATAGCGTTCGTACCACGGACCGAAATGGTTTTGCAGCTCCCGATCGATTTAAGTTCTGGACTTCGTCTCGAACTTAAAACTATCTCGAGCCAGCAAAACCTCATTTTTGGCCTAAGTACGAAAACTTGTTTATAATTGATTTTCCTGTATAATAATTAGGAGTAAAATGACTACACAGTATGGTTTCTAAAGTCCATAGTGGAAGTGATGTTTATTTACAACAAAATTAATAAACATAGCAAACACATGGCATATAATTAACACATGACAGCTGCTTCTAACTTAGTACCAAGAAGGCAATGAGGAACAAGATTATAAATAAATTCCAACAGGCTATTGTAGGACTTTCCACGTTTCGTT